ATCATGACATTAGAGTAAGGCAGCCAGAGGTGGGTTCATTACGCCCTTCCTGACACCGCCCCGAGTGAGTGCGAATAGCACTACATGTACAGTGGCAGAACCGGCCGATGTACAATTCTGTGTTCTTGCCTTTTCAGGAGAATCTGATATCAGTTACCCTACCCAGAATAGATGAAAGGCTAGGCCGGATTGGACGATAGCTGATCCGTAGCTAGACCGCCGACCACTTGCACCCACTCGCGACTCCACTCTTCCTGGCCAAGGCCAATTCTGGGATCATGGGCGGCTTGAAGCCAAATATTAGCTCTGAAAATTTGACGGTTTTGAAGTTTCCGCCGTTTCTCTACACTTCGAAGCCTGTTCTCGCCATGCACACATTCCACAGTGCAATTACAGTCATCATCCAGGCACTTGATAAGGCGGCCAAGGGTCGCGACGCGGCAGCGGCGCGTCATGACCGCGGCGATCAGATGTTTTTAAGCAGTTCACCAGACAATTGAACCAATACCTGAAAAAATCGCAAAAACACTCTATTACAAAAACAAAAAAAGACTCCACGTCCTAATGTACTTCATAAAGACAATAAAACAACTTAACCTGAGAAAAATAGAAATACAGCGTAAATTAGGGAGAAAATGGCTCAAAATAGGCTGGAAACAGCTGATCGCCGCGCTCGTGACACGCCGCAGCCGCGCCGCGACCCTTGGCCGCCTAATCAAGTGCCCGGATGACGACTGTACATTGGAGCAGAACAGGATGCTGTTCAAGAACTTCACTTGTTTGCATACATAACTGGAAGCGAAGACCCGGAGCATCTCAAAAGGGGCGCTAGCTCCATTAAATCCATTTTAGGCATGATCATGCGCTTGTAAGAAGATAAAATGTTCGGCGTTGACTGAATCCTTTCTAAGGTGCTCTGCACACTGGGCTTCGCTCGGAATTGCAGGGGATTCGAAGAATTATTCCCCTGGGAACAGCCTGTAGCGAAGGCTGGTAGTAAGGTAAAATCCTAAGCGGCTCTTACATCAAGTGGGCAAACCCGGAAGTGGGAAACTTGGGCGGCTAGATTAGATTCGAGATCACACGTGCGTTGACGGTGACGTCTGTCAGTAGCGAAACAGGTAGGCGTCACTGGTCACCATAACACTCACTACGCAAGGAACGAGTAATTTAAGTGGTGTCAGATTCCATCTTGAAAAAAAACCCGACTTCCATAACGTCCTCTGACCCCGCGTTCCCGGATCGATCAAAGTCGAATACTCTATTATTTATCCTCTTAAAAAGAACCAGAATGGTTGCAGTAAGAGTAAAGCTCTGTATTACAGTAAAACTATGCCCTCAGTATAATAGACGCCTCCATGAAGTCATTTTGGAATCACCTAGTTACATTTCAAATTTTCAGCATGAGACCTCGATTGACCCGTCTACTGCGCACTCGAAAACGAGTGTAACAACCACGCCGGGACCAATAATTGGTGAGCGATGAAGATGATTAATCTGTCTGCATAAGATGATTGATTGCCTCTAACAGGTCAGTTCTGCGGACGACGTACCAATGCCAGTGACCTGAGTTTAAGCACAATGAATGCTTTGACGTTATGGTGGCATACGGATGCCATCCTTCCACAGCAACATCCTGCAAAAGGGTTTCAGCTACATTGGAATGCTTTTCGAGTGACAGACGGAGGTATGGGAATGGCTGAAAGATGGCTGATAAGACTTTCTGTAATACCGTACCATAGTGATTAATTCATTGTAGTTCCGTGCTCGACTGGACGGGAATTCACCTGCGGGCAAGACCAGTGCATTCCTGTTCAACTGGCCTGCGATCGTTTCTCGGATTGTCCCGATGGTTCAGACATCATTTATTCCAAACAATTTGCTGCAAATTGTGAAGGTAAGCCGAGTTTCCTCTCCCTGAAGAAGGGGTGATAGGGAAGCCGTGTGGTGCGTCACATTCTCGTTGTGGTGGGATTTACACCAGAATCTAATTAATCCAGGAGCTGGCAGGTCGAATAAACTACATCTAGCTGATAGAGTCGCAATCAGGCAAGGCGGTGTCAGAAGTTGTG